GGGTTTGTTTATCAGATCTAGTTAGTTCTGGGTTTTGTTTCGATTTCTTAAAAAAAAAAAAATCAAATCTGGTTCTCTCTGTCGATACTTATAGGGTTTAGCCTTTTCCGATTTAGTGAAGGAATATCCGATTTCGTGGGTTAGCTCGAAGTTATTTGAATGGATCTTTTGATAAAAGTTGATGAATCGAACTGAAAAGTTAGTGAAATACTCTACCATATCATATGTCTCTGTGATTCATCTTATTGCTTCAAGTTAGGTTACTGTTCCATATGATTCGTGTTTCATTATCTGAGTTGCTTTAGCTTTTCTTGGATGGATCTCTTTATGTCTTTAAGAAAGTATTTGAACAAGTCTATGGCTCTTATATTGCAGGTTTTTGAGCTTGCATACAATGGCTACAACGGGGACAATTTCGTTGGCTCTAGAGGCCAACAGCTCGGAGGCGATCCAGATACTGTATGAGATTCTGGAAGATCCATCGTCATCGCCAGAGGCTCTGCGGATTAAGGAACAAGCCATTGGTCTCCTCTGCGATCGTCTCACTGAGGAGAAAAAAGGGGAGGACCTCCGTTTACTCTTAACCAAACTGAGGCCTTTCTTTTCGTTGATCCCCAAGGCAAAAACTGCAAAAATCGTCAGAGGGATAATTGATGCTGTGGCGAAGATACCGGGAACTACTGATCTGCAGATCACGCTCTGCAAGGAGATGGTCGAATGGACCCGAGCTGAGAAACGTACTTTCCTGAGGCAGCGAGTTGAAGCGAGGCTAGCCGCACTTTTGATGGAGAACAAAGAATATGTTGAGGCTTTGGCGCTGCTGAGTAATTTGGTCAAAGAGGTCAGGAGATTAGATGATAAGCTCCTTCTGGTTGACATTGACTTGCTGGAGAGCAAACTTCACTTCTCATTGAGAAATTTACCAAAGGCGAAAGCTGCACTCACCGCGGCTAGGACAGCTGCAAATGCGATATATGTCCCACCGGCTCAACAAGGCACCATTGATCTTCAGAGTGGGATTCTTCACGCTGAAGAGAAGGACTACAAAACCGGATACAGCTACTTCTTTGAAGCCTTTGAGTCCTTCAACGCTCTCAGTGATCCTAGAGCGGTTTTCAGCTTGAAATACATGTTGCTGTGCAAGATCATGGTTAGCCAAGCTGATGATGTTGCAGGAATAATCTCCTCGAAGGCTGGACTTCAGTACGTTGGCCCTGACCTTGATGCCATGAAGGCAGTTGCTGATGCTCACTCAAAGAGGTCCTTGAAATTGTTTGAGAACGCACTCCGTGACTACAAAGCGCAGCTAGAGGATGACCCAATTGTCCACAGGCATCTCTCTTCTCTCTATGACACGCTTCTGGAGCAAAACCTGTGTCGTTTGATCGAGCCCTTCTCACGAGTTGAGATAGCACACATTGCTGAGCTGATTGGATTACCGCTTGACCATGTGGAGAAGAAGCTATCGCAGATGATCCTTGACAAGAAATTTGCAGGTACCTTGGATCAAGGAGCTGGATGCCTAATCATATTCGAAGATCCAAAGGCAGATGCTATCTACTCGGCTACGCTCGACACCATTGCAAACATGGGGAAGGTCGTTGACAGCCTTTACGTCCGTTCCGCCAAAATCATGGCCTGAGTGAGTGTCTCGGTCGCCTGAATCTCACATCTCTATCGATCTTCCTCCTTTTTCGGTTTTAGATATCGTTTTTAGACTCGAAAGAAACTAGTCTGGATTGTTCTTATTGCTAGTTTCGCTTTATGATGTTTATGTTATGGTTTCTTCTGAGCTACAGATGCAAGTACTTGTCTTTTCTTTAGTGCTTAAAATTGCAGGATTTGTTTTCCATTTGGTTGTTGAAGACAGTTTCCTTCCTTCTTTAAAACCTGACAAGTCAAAACTTTGTGTTCTCTTTTTACCAAAAACCTCTCAATTTTTTTAACTCTTCACCCAAAAATTTCATTGATTTTCTTTCTTCTGATCAGCATTTATAAATTCTGACCAACCCAGAACTCAATTTTTACAGGACCCACAATTTATTTTCCCAAAGCAGGACATGACTTGCACACAAGTCTTGATTTTGTTGTCAAATTCCTTGATGTGTGCTTAGTTACAGTAGCTTTTCTCGTTAGCTTGGTCTTAATAAATATGTCAAATTTCTCTGCGACTTGTGATACTACTCACTGTTGACCAGTTAGGTTATGGATTCTTGAGTTACACTTGTTTAATTGCCGGTTTTACTTTAAGACCGACTTAAATATTTCTTACAAAATCGGAGATTCTAGTTCGAAATTCGTAAGAGCATACCAATTTTAATCCAACTTTAAGGGAATTGAATCATG